GTGTGTGTTGTGTGGGTGGGTGGGTGGGTGGGGTCCTGTGAAGACAGATGGCCTTGCTCAGGTCCCCTACCATCAAGTCACTACATGAGGTACTCCCATCCAGACCAAAAAGCCTGAGGACAATATTCTCTCATGAAATCATTTTTATTTTTCCCCATCGGTTTTCTGGTGAAGTCACAAATAACTGCTGAAAAACATAAGCAGAGTTTAAAGACTCAAAAACCCTTCCTCTGGTTTCCCCTCCCCACAGGCTCTTGTTACATCCAAAGAATTTAGGCTGCAGCAGGGTCACCCACACACAGAAAACTAAAATACCCAGATTTTAATTGAAATAGAAATTTGGTGGCAAAGAAAACACCAATTTTCAGGGCAACCTCTCTGCCCTGAATGTTAGCACTCTGCCTTTTCCAACACAAAAATGAGGCACTGTATTCAAAATCCCCACCCTTTACTGATCTTGAGAACTCCTTTTTGTCCTCTAGTCCTAAGTTGAAAAATCAGTTGACTAAAACACTTAATGCTCTCTGTTAGCATGTATGTTAAATTTATGCAAACTCCATATTAGATTTTTTTGGACACAAAACGCATTTGTGTAACACACCAAATGGCATTCTGTCACCCAGGCCATGAGGGCCAAGCGGAACAAGCTGCCTGGGGTCTGAGCCCTACCCTGGCTCCTGCAGCTGGTGCCTGAGGACACAATGAAACCATGGAGGGAGGGTGGCCCCACGAGAGATTGAGGATGAAGGATTAGAAGGGAAGGACACGGTTATGCCATCAAGAGGGAGAACATTCAAAAGTGCTTTCCAATACTCTCCTTACTCTCTAGAAGGGACACGTAATGTTTCTAGAGAGCACTTTGGTATCTATGGGGGGAACCAGAACCAATACTTGAAGAGAGGAAGAGATGGTTGTACTTAAGTATTATTCACTCAGGAAAACCTTCAACCTCTAGAGCTGGAAATAGGAATGAGAAAGTTCACAGTGCCAATAAGATGAAACCAAACCCATGTAGAGGAGAAATGTGCATGTTGGGACCCTGAACCACCTCTGTGGTTTCTCATAGCCTCATGAGATGCACTGTGTTGGCATCCTGGCTTCCCTGAGAATCCATAAACTCCATTAGCCCTTCAGACCTACAGGATCCATGTCCAAGAATGAACTACTCAAGCCATACATATTTGGGGGAAAAGGTTATACTCACTCGCACTGTAGATGAACAGACTTTGGTGCAGAAGAAATTTGGGCACCCAGTGTTGAGGGTGAGAGGCCTTGGGAGCAATCCCTTGAGAGATGGCTATATTTCTCACTCAATGCAGTCTGTGACATAACACAAACACACACATGGGTTTTAACAATTGTACAAAGGGTCAAGACAAGGTGGGCTAAACGCATCCCCTGGAGTCCCATTCGAAACAGGAAGAACACAAACCATCCAGACTAGACCCTCCAAGACCCATTTCAGAGCTGTTTGGGGAGCTGGAGAGCAGATGACTCTACACCCACCAACTGAGCCACCATCTAGTGAGGGGTGGCTTCTCATGTTCTGTCTGCCATTGGGATGTACACAAGGATTAGACCACAGTCAATGACATCTGAACTCAGTCGTGACCTATTTAATGTAGCTTAAGGATGTGTGCCACTTACTTATTATTATTATTATTATTATTTAGTACTTTCATGAATTTAACAATGGTCCTTCACATGATTATGGCAGACACTAAGGTCAGACATTAATACATGGGACCTCATGAAACTGAAAAGCTTCTGTAAGGCAAAGGGCAACATCATCTGAAAAAGCAGCAACCTACAGAATGGGAATTTTTTTTTTTTTTAACCAACTCCACATCCAATAGAGGACTAATATACAAAATATATAAAGAACTCAAGAAACCAGATATCAAAAATAACCAAAAAATACAATTTTAAAATGGGGTGCAGATCTAAGCACAATATTCTCAATAGAGGAAACTCAAATGACCAAGAAACACTTTGAATCTTTAGTAAAGGGCAGAATGTTTGTTCCCTCCAAGCTGGGGCTCTTGAGCCATTCATTAATACAATGAGATGGGAGTGACACTGTGCCAGTTTCTGGGCCCAGGTCTTAAGGAAATGGCAGTTAATACTTTCTAACTTCCAATCTCCTCCTTCCCTATTCAGAAAAACCATAGTGCATGTCCCGGCTCATTTATAAATGGCACAATTAATTTCAATAATGACAAGAAGATATGGGCAAATCCAATAGATAGGATATTCAGCAGGCATTTTAAAAACATTTTCAAATTGTTTAGATGCCACTAGAAAGTACTTATAAGTGAAAATCAATATAGAAATATACATGTGTGTATGTATACGTACCATATGCTTATCATAACTTTGTCAAGAAATTCATCAAAAAAGGGTAATATCATTATATCTCATACATATGTATAATATAATTATATCAGGGTACTGAGGTTACAGCTGATCTTTTTTGCTTTGTTCTTCCTTTTCTGCAATAACATTTTTATATCCCCCAAACAAATAGCTAAAGCATCCTTCAGTAGCACATCTTCAGTGGGAAGACTTCTTTTTAAATATAATCATGATAGTAAATCAGACTGGTCCTTCAAGAAAAGATCCCTGCCCCCATGCATTCCACACAACCTTGGTAAACACATCATAAAGAGGTGAAAAAAATGGTATGTATTTTGATGCTAATTTGCCATAAAGAGTCAAAAGGCCTGTGGTGCCAAAAAGGGGGACAGCCACCCAATTAGGCCCTTGCTCTGTGGCCTTTGGTATTATACACTAGAGACCTTCATCATATTTTAGTGATGGCCACAAAGACCTCATCACCATTGACTGATAGACTAGAAATCAGCTTCACCAGGCCGGGAATGCCAGAAGTCTGCTGGGGCACTGCAGGGTTCAGGAAGCACATTGCTGGTTAAGCTCTGGCCCACAAAACAAACTCCCCTGCAATAAAGACAGATTGTATTGTTCTACATGTTCTTAATCAGGTTCAAATATTAGCCCAGCTGGGTCAAAGGAGGATTTCAAGAGTGATAAATATTTTCCATGGTTGTATGGGAGAATGGAGGAAGATAAATCATTAATTCCTTCAACCAAACTCGATAAACGTCTGAGGTGGCTTCAGGATACAGAACAGAGAAGATGTAGCCTTGTTAAAACTAATGCTGACTCTGACGTTGGCCCATGGTACACGGGAGCTAGCCTGCGCGGACTCACGAGAGCCACTGTGGTAATTCTTTAACTCACTTTTTTTTTTTCAGGGACCTGGTAAGAATGGAGGCATTCACACACACCACAGGAATCAGCAAAGGCTAAAAGATTTGGGGGCTCCTTTCCCCAGAGACACTGTTGCCTATGTGGCAGCATCACTCCCACCCAGGCCAAACGGGGGTTCTTCACGGGCCTCTCCCGTCAAGAAGAACCCCTTCTCTGACTAGGTGGGTGAGCGTCACTGACTCCACCTGTCAGCACTGACTTCCAAAGGCAGTCATGAAAGGCAGCACGGATACACTCAAGCGTAAATGGGTTGGCTCATAGGAATCCACCTCAACCGCAGGGCGAAGTACACTAACTGGCTGTGAGGCACCTGGTCTCACGTCTGTGTTTGGGCTTGGATTTTTAAAAAATGGAATTCTCAATGGATAGGCCTCATCTGTGATTATAAAAGCATACCTAAAATCCTGCCAGTCTTAACTATTATAACAATGGAAACTCAAGAATATATTTTAATAAATTTCTTTTCATCTTCCAAAACTAAAATTCAATGCAATCGCTAACAACATGTTCACACTAATTAGTTCATTTAAAAAGTATTTAAAAGAGCCTTGCATTTCCTAAATACAACAACCTTTCAAAAACCCAGAAACACTAGACAACACTAATCTGAAAACCCCAAATCCGGAATGCTCTAAAATCTGGAACTTACTCAGGGCTGACATGATACCACAAGTGAAAACTCTCATCCCAGACTTCTTGGTCACAATGCAAGCACACTAAAAAACGGTCTAGGAAATTAAATTTTAGCATGCATAAAACATAAGTGGGTTTCATGTTTAGACATGGATCCCATCCCCAAGATAGCTAATTAAGGATATGCAAATATGCCAAAATATAGAGAAGGGACAGAAGACCCTGAAACCCAAGACTGCAGGCTGCATGAACTTCAGAGAAGTGATGTAACCGCTCCACCACTCCAGAGCAGAGAACAACAGAAAGATCTGGAAACACAAACTGAACTCACAACTCTAGAGTCTCGGTGGCCTTTGCAAACAAACTTGTACATCTTTACTAGACTGCAGAGGAATAGCAGTATCCCCAGAGGCCAGAACTGCCACATTTTCCCTGCAAAGACACCCGAGCTTCAGCACATACCCCAGGTCTTCTCTCACGTTACCACTTTAAACTGTTTCCTTAGCCCTATGACCTGAAGAGCTCTGGCTTGCTGATTGTTTTACCCTGGGCCATTTTCCCCACTGAGACTGCTTGCTCCAAGATAGCAGGGTCCGCACCTACCAACCCATCACCTGGTACAGCGACTAGTCAAGAGTCAGAGCTCAACAAATGTCTACTGTGTGAACAGCTAAATGTGCAAAGATAATTACCCAGTCAAAGTGCTCTCACGACAAGACACACTAAAATCATCAAATGAGTTTCGTGTTTAGACGGGTCCCCTCCTCCTGCCGCAGGCCTATCTCCTTCCATGTCATCTAGAAGAGGAGATGAATGATTCACCCACACCCCCTACACCCTTCCAACCAGGGTACCTCACAGGGCCAGCTGAGCTCCTACTCCAAGGCAGGAACCAAATGAGGTCAGATAAGGAACCACCCGGCCTCGGGCTACCACATAAGCTTTCCCGTGTGCCTGGAGCTAGTCTACTTTCCTGGTTTTCCCCCTTCTTCTTTGGCATCCAGTACTTCTTGCTTAGATATCTATCTACCTTCAGGGACCTGCTTCAAAAAGATTTTCTTGCTCTTCCCCCTCAGATCTTGCCCTTGAAACTGGCTGTGATTCTTCCAGTGTTCTTACTAACTGGTTTACTACTGGATAAAGAGGTGAATTTCAAATGGGACCGGGAGCCACTGGACTGTAAGTCACCTAGCAGAGGGTTCCTGTGATGCCCGAGGCCCACATCCCAATACAGGACAGGCACCCCGATCATGTGGGCTTCACTGGTTTGGGAGTTTTGTTTTTTTGTTTTATTTATTTGGTTTCATCAAAGACCAAACTCTTATTTAGCTCTCTGGCAGTTACAGAGCAATCCAGGACATCAAATTCCAAAATGAGACTCAAGTAACATAATCAGCCTTGATGTGAGATTCAATTAGGAACTGCTGCAATGAAGTTCAGAGAACATGTCTGTCAGCAGATTCGTGACTTAGAATAGTTATTTCTCTTTTAGACATGGCACCAAAGGACTTATCCAAAGGCGTGTAATCTCAAATTTAGCAGGAGGAAAATTCTCTCCCAATTATGAATATATTATTTCTAGCCTAGCTTCAATCTTTCCCCCATTTCTACATAGAGGAAGGAAAAACAAGTTCCTGAGACAAAGCAAAGACTAAAACCTACCAAGTGTTGGGAGTGAAAGTTACCTCATCAGAATTAGAAAGGAGAGACAGGAATGTGGTACCTCACAAGAGCGAGCAAGCTTTCACTCACAATACAATATATTATTACAGTCCGTGAGGACAATGGTAATTATCGTGTATATATTTATGTGTGTGCAGACACATGCTCCTTTTCACCTGTTTATTTTCTTATTAGTGAAACTCTGAGAGAAAAAGCTGACGTTTGCTCAGCTCACATCACAAATAGTTCAAGATATTCCTTATCAGCAATTAGTTACTATTTAATTGAATTCTGATAATGCGGCTTCTCATGAGAGCAGCCCTCGGTTCAGTCCATTTGTGCCAAGTCGATCTCCTTGAACTGTCGGGTGATAAGGATTCCTGGGCCCCTGGTGTAAAATGGCTTATCAATGCATCCCATTGCCAAGCATTCGTTTACAATGCCTAGCTACCCAAAACTCTACTCAGGGAGCTGGTGGGGATGCCTAGGTGGTACAGAAAAGGGAAAGCCTTGCTTTCAGGAATGTTCAGATGTCTGGGAAAATAAATGCATGCCACCCATAGACCAACCTGTCAACCGGTGCAGACATTTAAATGTCTCCTAAAATGTTCTCTGAGCTAGTTCATTAATCCACAGACAGTGCCACGCTCTGTTACAAAGGACATTTTTAGGTGCTACACTTAGTCTTATTTTATGTAGCTAGTTGTTCAACATAATACCAATCTGTTTCTTTTTCACTGAACAGGATTTGGGGAAGACAGAAACCGGAAAACTACAGACACATGCAGCCTTTAAGGAAACCACCACAGCTGGTTAAACAGCCCCACACAAACCAACCCCTCCACTCCGATTTCCAGAAACAGTCTGAGGGGCCCTTCTTTCTAGAGACTTCTCTTTGTTTGGCAATAAGATGATCCATGACCCCCTTCTTTGTTTCATAATTTTCTTTCTACTTCTTCATATCCACAATTTGGTGACTTCAATTGGAAACCCAATGGGGACATCTAGCTGATTCACATACTGTCTGTCTGGGCGGGATGGGAGACTGCATGGGTGTAGCTGTGCTCAAGCCCGTGTGGACTATCTACCTACCTGCATCCTTGCCCTCCTGGTACCCACTTCTTAGCAGCAAGAGAGCAAAGAAAACATTCACAGCCATGTACCACATGGCAGGGAGCTGATCGAATTTTCAAAATGTATAGTTTTAAGAAGTGTTTAAATTGATAAATTGGCTTAATAGTCAACTCATACTGTCAAATCTTTAAAACATAAACTTACAAAAAAAAAATTGTGAGCTTAGTTTTTGACCACAATCATCTCAAGTCAAAGAGAAACATCAAAAACTTCAAACAGACTCACATCGTACATGGGGAAAGGAGTTTTTAAAAGTCCCAGGCCATTATTTCCCTATTCGAGGAAAAACAAACACTTCTTTGCAGGTATTTCTAAGCTTCTATTGCTAATGTTGTCTCTCTTCTGTTGGCGTCTGCCACAGAAAATTTCCTAGAATTATAATTTTCATTTAAACACATTTAAACTTGTCAGAATACATTTAGATGAATGAACAAGAATGAAACAGACTCCAGAAAAATGAAATGCCAGCGTTACCTTCTGCCTGGTCCACAGTCGTCGCCTTCAGACATTACTGCCCTTGAAGAATAACTGCCCCTGCTTAACACAGCGAAGACAGCCAGAGAACGTTGTCTTTCTTTTCCACAACGACGCGGACTCCCCAGCAGGCAGGGGGATTCTTCTCTTTCTGGAGAAAAACCGCTCCTACTCTACTCAGAAAGTCGGTGTTTACAAACTTCCAAAGTGCCTGCCTCCTGCCTTGAATGAAGCAGAGCGGTGGCCTATTATGACAGCCCCTTGCTAAAAATAAAGAGGTCACCTCTCACTCCCCGCAACACCGTGACAGGCAGCTGGGCAGGAGCGCTGCCACCCGAGGGCTTCGCATTTTCCCTGAAGTCGTGTGAGAAGGTGTCACCAGGGATGACTTCACCAGGCCACCTGCCTGCCCTCTTTCCTCTTTTTTTTTTTTCCTGGCAAGATCTCTAGGCACCTACCAAAGGTGGAGTGGCCACAGGCAGGTTGAAACCTCACTCCAGCTATCAGATCTCCGCCTTTGAGTCACAGGGGAGCAAAGGCAGGGGATTGGGGTGGGGGTGGGGGTGAAGACGGGACAGGACAGGGCTGTCCCAGCAATAGAGTGGGAGGTTTGTTTGCATAATACCTGCCACTCAGCAAAAAGTCTCTTACTCAAAATAGAGAAAAACAAAACAAAACAAAAAAACCGCACGAAGCCATGGGGCAATCAGTTGTGACAGACACTGCTTTGCAAGAAGAGCTCTCTCCAGATCACCTAGGTCTCCTGACTCGCAGTAAGCATGCACATGAATAGAAGCCTGTGTGTCCCTGGGATCAAAAGTCTCCCTCCCTCCCCACAGCTTCACATGGCCGGGTGGTGGCTCTGGAGACTTTACGCTTCAGCTCCTAGCTGCCCTTTCTCAACCCCTGCTCCCTTCATGGTGCCTTGTTTCCAAAAATGCCAGGAGACTCATTTAATACCGCCCAATAAAAACTTGGAGTTAAAAACCTTAATCCATTTCCTTTTCCTATTTTCTGAATAAGAACATAAGGAAAGACTCAAAGCAAGATCTAATAATTTTTAAAAAATGATAATTTTTTTCTTTAAAAGAATGTGAATGTGCCACTTGTTATATTAGCTGTCTTTTACGTGGTATTATTTTACATGGTATCTTTGTTTAAAAATGGTTGTCCAGACCACTGAGGAATTAAAAAGTCAGAGAATTTAAAATAGTTATCTGCTTTCTTATGGAAAATGTTGGTCATTTTGCAATGTATGAATGCTACACTTTAAGACAGATATACTGAAATGGCACAGTATTTCACACAAAACATTGTGCTTTAGAGACTTCGAGCCTAAGGTCTGAAGTACATATACCTAAGATGGGTTTATATACTCAAAATGCACAACTTATATTTCTAAATAAGGCATACTTTATGAGTCTGCATGTCATCCTTGCACAGGGTCATACCAATCTTCTCTGTATTATTCCAACTTTAATATATGCCCTGCCAAAGTGAGCACTCACAAATATGTAACTTAAAAGCAAACTCACATTCAGAGTTCAGTAGATCAAAGCAGAGTAGCCTCCAATGCTAAAGCAACGTGTTTGTTACATCACTAGACACAGCAGGGTTTGTTTGTTTGTTTGGTTGGTTGGTTTTGAGACAGGGTTTCTCTGTGTAGCTTTGCGCCTTTCCTGGAACTCACTTGGTAGCCCAGACTGGCCTCAAACTCACAAAGATCCACCTGCCTCTGCCTCCCGAGTGCTGGGATTAAAGGCGTACACCACCACCGCCCGGCAACACGGCAGCTTTTTAAGCACTGAGAAGTTGAACCGCTGAAAACAGCACCCATGACGTCATCACTTGCACTGACCTGAGACAGCACCCAGGCTAATCCTACTGTCTCCCACTCACTCCCAACCAGTCCAGCACCTTCCTTTTCCTCTCTCCAAGCTCCCATCTCTTTCTTAATTAGCTAAACAAACCTCAGCTTCACCGATCTGAAGGCACACCCCCTGAAGTGTCTCTCAGTTCTAAAAGAATTCACCGACAAATGTTATAACAGAGTTGCCAGCGACCACCATGAAATAGTGAGTAACACCACTTTGGAGTGCTCAGCCCTTTGTGCATTTTCAAATGACTTGCTTCATCTGAGTTCCCCATGAGGTATTTTTTGTGGCACTTTGTAAAATCCACAAGAATAAGGATGGAAAATAAGGCCAGCACAAGCAACAAGTCCCAAAGTGTAGCTACCTGGCCGGTGACTATTGCCACTGAGGCTCTGTATGCCACTTCTTTACCTAAATGTCATCTTCTGCCCTGGGAACTAGGCACTATGGATCCCCTCACTGTTGTTGACCTGAAAATGTAGTGGACAATCAGAACTTAAAACGACCCAAGGAAGCTCTCGCCAAGGTCTTCAGATGTTATCATAGCCTCAAAAAGTTAGATGGCGTGCTGGTTGGAGGTCAGTAGCCTCCAGGTTGGAGTGCTCTTTTCTTGCCTCTAGCGCAAGATCCAGAAGAGCCGTCACATCAGGCAAAAGCTCATGTCTGAGACACTCTGAGGTTTTAGATTTTCCTCTGTTCACATGCTCCCCAAATGCGTGTGCATTTTCTTTTAGTTATGTACTTTATTTTCCTTTGCCATTCCATACAGTCTAAAAGACCATCAGCATTTCAAAGCTAACTGTCTCCTTTGCACAGTGTCTACAGCCGCCACAAAATCTCCAGTACAACAGTTTTATATTGTTGCCATACCCTCGACAGCAGCTTTGAGGGAAGCTCAGGCTCCACCAGGGATAACAGGACAGAAGACCCTGCTCCTTTCTCTTGGAGGTTAAAAAGCAGTCTGAGCAATGGGAGGCAAAAAGCTTATGCTCTTGTAGGGAAGGGTGTTCTCATATTCCCTTCCAGCTTCACCAGGTAGCAGAAACATGGGTTAGTCACATGCATGGCCTTCCAGGATAAAAACTAGATTGCTCAGCGTGTCTGAGGGAAGCGAGGCTGTGTGCTTACGCCCTGACTGAGAGGGTGTCAGCAAAGCATCGGGCAGCTCTCAGGGACTCACTTTAAAGGACATCTGGCACATCCCAGTTTATTCCTTCTACCTCCTGCTGGAGAGAATTCAGGCTTGCTAGCTGGATCTCCAGAAGCCACTTTCGGCAAGACATGACTGTGTGCAACAGAGAGAAAACATGGCCGAGTGAGTCCCCATGATAAAGCAGCTGCCTGGGCTGGGGGACACTGTGAGCAGTCAACAGCCATGGATAACATTTTACTTTTTGGAAATTCCAAGTTAGACAGAAAAAAAAATGTTTAATGCCACTGTTCTTTTGAGATACCATTAGCGTAGTCTTCCCTTGCCCATGGTTTTGTTTTCTAGGTTTTCAGTTACCCACAACCAACCATAGTCAAAAATTCCAATGGGAAGTCCTAGGAATCAACAAGTCATCAATTTAGATCCTAAATCATCCTGTGCCATCCTACTTTATCTGTCCTGGCTCTCTTTTTACCCCAGCATAGGGACCATTTTATTTCCCAGTACCAACATATATGTTACCTGCCCATTAGTTACTTAATAAGCATCTCTAGTTATCAGATAGACTATCAAAGTAATTGTAGTGCTCATATCCAAGTGACCATTATTAAACCTTATAAGAATGGCCCCAAAGCATAAGGTGCGTCCTTTAAAATGATATGGTGAAAGTTCTTGACTTAGTTACATTTTGAAAACTGTGCTAAGGTTGCTAGGATCTGCAGGGCATTATAAATCTCTACTGCGCCTGCTTCAGAAATGAAGCTTTATCATAGGTATGCATGGGTGTTTTTCAAAAGCTGTGCATATCGGGCTCAGTGTTATGTATGGATTCAGACATCCACTGTGGTCTTGGATTGTATCCCCTGTGGATGAGGAGGGACCACTCACCTCAAACGTAACCCCAACTAAACTATTTCCCTAGAAGTATGAGTTATGGCCATCAAAATAAAGAAAAACAAACAAACAAACAAACAAAAATCTCCATTAAAACTAAGACCAAAAGTGAGGCAGAGATTCCTCAGGCCATGCTGTGTGGGAGTAAAGAGCAGACATGCCCTCCATCCCGGTCCTCATAAAGGTCGGCCAGGCTGTAAACATGTATGAAACATGTCAAAAATATCATTTGAAAAGAACAGTATGGGGCAAGATGATACAATGGTACTACTTTAGGTATCTCTTCCTTTTTTTTTATAAAGCCTCTAATGCTACCACAGGGGCCCCACCCTAATTAATTCATCAACTTTGAAGTGCCTCCCAGGGGCCTCACCTCCAAATATTAGCAGCCTATGAGTTTGCCTATTGAGTGTCCCCTGAACATGAACCTCTTTCTTGGGAGCACATTCGAAACTCAGCACTTACCCTCTGAGCGATTTTCTGTCCATCAATCGTCACCCCACAGGACTATCCATCTACTTGGCAATACGTTTCCACTCTCTCTCTCACTGCAAAGCTAAACCCAGTTTCTCCCTTTGGCTGCAAAACCCCTTACACATTGGTCTCCTGAATCATCTGCCTTTTCCACTCTCTGACACGTCAGAATGAGTTTTTCTCCAGCAGACGCTGTCCCTGAGGACAACAGAACAGGTATGACCTAGTAGCTGAGAACACAGACTTTGCCTTTGAGTGAACTTGGCAGATTCTCCACAAACTCCTGCTTGTGGGCTTCTGGGTGTGACTGAAATACTGTCAAGGGGCAAGCATTTTGTGCTGAGAAAATGGTCAATGCGCTCCTGCTGTTTTTATTAGAATTGACATTGTGGGTCCAGGACTGATGGATTGGCTGGTTAACTCCAGACCACCATTTAGTCAGTTGTTCTGGGAGACCTTCTAAACTCTTAGAGTCTAGAGGAACATTAACCTAAATCCCTGGTAATACCACCACATTCAAATCTAGGTACTCTATGTGGCTCCAAAGGGAAGAAGCCTTCCTCGTACATTGCAAGCCTGGTTATCCTCAAAGCCACATCTCAGGTTAGGATGT